GGGGGTCCATGAGGGGGGAAATCAAGGAAAATTGTGAAATTACATGATTTTTAAAGAAAATTATCAGATGTTACATATTGTCATATAAAATATATAGTCTAATGTCTAAAGTGTAACAGGAGCGGAAAAATGCATGGCCAGACTGGGGCTGGAATACGGACGCTCTATCAATTGAGCTACTTGGTCGCCGACGATCGACATTGTCAAATTCCGCTACAAAAGTATACCCAGTCTAGATCAACAGCGGACACACAGTAAACAATTCTGACCGTCCCTTATTTACCTAAATAACAAACACAGTTCAATCTTTATGAAATCTTACCTCAAAACTGTAGGAAATGTCGATTGTGCGTGTGGTTAGTACAAAATACGCCTAGATGTCCAGCAGGTTTACGGGGGGAAATCATGTGAGATCTTTGAACTTTTAAATCCGAAATTGTACTATTGTCACCCGACCAACAGACAGTAACGAACGGTCATTGTCTGCCGCGTTTACATACGAGATATTGATATTGCAAACGGGCGATTATCTACGGTTAAGCCGCAAGCGTACACTGAACATTTAAAAGTATTTGTCACCTTTAAAGGTAAGAAAGTCCTGCCAAAATAAAGGGAGGCCAGAATAAACAAGATACAAGATACAATATACAAGATGCAAGGTACAAGATACAATATACATTATACAAGGTACAAGATACAAGGTACAAGGTAAAATATAAAAGATACAAGGTACAAGGTACAAGATACAAGGTACAAGATACAAGATACAAGGTACAAGCAACAAGGTACAAGATACAAGATACAATATACAGGATACAGGATACAGGATACAATATATAAAATACAAGGTACAAGGTACAAGATACAAGATACAAGATACAGGGTACAAGGTACAAGATACAAGGTACAAGATAGAATGTACAAGGTACAGGATCCAAGATACAAGGTACAAGATACAGGATACAGGATACAGGATACAATATATAAGATACAAGGTACAAGATACAAGATACAATATACAAGGTACAAGATACAAGGTACAAGATAGAATGTACAAGATACGAGGTACAAGATACGAGGTACAGGATACAAGGCACAGTGTACAAGATACGAGATACAGATTACAGGATACAGGATACAAGATACAGGATACAAGATACAAGATACAAGGTACATGGTCCAACGTACAAGATACAAGTTACAAGATACAAGGTACAAGGTACGAGATACAAGGTACAAGATACAATATACAAGGTACAAGATACAAGATACAAGATACAATATACAAGGTACAAGATACAAGGTACAAAAACTAAGATACAAGGTACAAAAACTAAGATACAAGATACAAGGTACAAGATACGAGGTACAAGATACGAGGTACAGGATACAAGGCACAGTGTACAAGATACGAGATACAGATTACAGGATACAGGATACAAGATACAGGATACAAGATACAAGATACAAGGTACAAGGTACAAGATACACGGTACAAGATACAAGATACAAGATACAAGGTACATGGTCCAACGTACAAGATACAAGTTACAAGATACAAGGTACAAGGTACGAGATCCAAGGTACAAGATACAATATACAAGGTACAAGGTACAAGATACAAGGTACAAGATACAAGATACAAGGTAGAAGATACAAGGTACAAGGTACAAGATACAAGGTACAAGGTACAAGATACACGGTACAAGATACAAGATACAAGGTACAAGATACAATATACAAGATACAGGGTACAAGGTACAAGATACAAGGTACAAGATACAGGATACAGGATACAGGATACAATATATAAGATACAAGGTACAAGATACAAGATACAAGATACAATATACAAGGTACAAGATACAAGGTACAAGATACAATGTACAAGATACGAGGTACAAGATACGAGGTACAGGATACAAGGCACAGTGTACAAGATACAAGATACAGATTACAGGATACAGGATACAATATACAGGATACAAGATACAAGATACAAGGTACATGGTCCAACGTACAAGATACAAGATACAAGTTACAAGTTACAAGGTACAAGGTACAAGATACAAGGTACAAGATACAAGATACAATATACAAGGTACAAGATACAAGGTACAAGGTACAATATACAAGGTACAAGGTACAAGATACAAGGTACAAGATACAAGATACAAGATACAAGGTACAAGATACAAGATACAAGGTACAATATACAATATACAAGGTACAAGATACAAGGTACAAGATACAAGGTACAAGATACAAGGTACACGATACAAGGTACAAGATACAAGATACAAGGTACAAGATACAAAATACAAGATACAAGGTACAAGGTACAAGATTCAAGATACAAGGTAGAAGATACAAGGTACAAGGTACAAGATACAAGGTACAAGATACAAGGTACAAGATACAAGGTACAAGATACAAGATACAAGGTAAAAGATACAAGATACAAGATACAAGGTACAAGATACAATATACAAGATACAAGGTACAAGGTACAAGATTCAAGATACAAGGTAGAAGATACAAGGTACAAGGTACAAGATACAAGGTACAAGATACAAGGTACAAGATACAAGGTACAAGATACAAGATACAAGGTAAAAGATACAAGATACAAGATACAAGGTACAAGATACAATATACAAGATACAGGGTACAAGGTACAAGATACAAGGTACAAGATACAGGATACAGGATACAGGATACAATATATAAGATACAAGGTACAAGATACAAGATACAAGGTACAATATACAAGGTACAAGATACAAGGTACAAAAACTAAGATACAAGGTACAAAAACTAAGATACAAGATACAAGGTACAAGATACAAGGTACAAGGTACAAGATACAAGGTACAAGATACAAGGTAGAAGGTACAAGATACAAGTTACAAGATACAAGATACAAGGTACAAGATACAAGGTACAAAATACAAGATACAAGATACAAGGTACAAGATACAAGGTACAATATACAAGGTACAAGGTACAAGATACACGGTACAAGATACAAGATACAAGGTACAAGATACAATATACAAGGTACAAGATACAAGGTACAAGATAGAATGTACAAGGTACAGGATACAAGATACAAGGTACAAGATACAAGGTACAAGGTACAAGATACAAGGTATAAGGTACTAGGTACAAGAAGATTTATTAAGAGTCGTACATGTTAAGCATTAAACATTAGCTCTGTAGAGCTTCACACACACAACACGCTATTATTACGACAAAACGTGAATATAATGTATAGAAAATTACAAACAAAATAAAATATTACAGCATGCATGTTGAATAAAAATAGAAACAGCTTAAGAGACTGAACAATACAAATCAGAGTACTACACGTTAGCAAGCAAGCAAACAACAATACATACATACATACATACATACATACATACATACATACATACATACATACATACATACATTACATACATACATACATACACATACATATATATATCACAGCATGCAGAAGTTACTACTTGTAAACAAGCAAGCAACAATACATACATACATATCTCTAGTCTTCAGCCTGCCTATATGAAAAAAGTCAAGATTGTTTTGTTTTAAAAGATCTCTAAATGTAGATGTATCATAATTTAGATAAAGCGTATGTTTTTTTCCTGAATTCTCTCCATCATCCTGGTCTTATCATCATCATCATCATCGTCATCATCATCATCATCGTACATACACATTGACAATCAGCTTCATCATCATCTTATGTACAATCATCATCATCATCATCATCATCATCATCATCATCATCATCATCACTGTCACCATCATCATCATAATCTATACGTGATGAGCATCTTATTCATCCTCCTCCTCCTCCTCCTCTAGGTAAAAATTGTATAATGTCAAACATCATTCACCGTCATCATCAACATCATCATCATCTGTGCATAGTTACAGTTACAGTTAGAGAGAGATATCTGGCCCAGTAAAATAAAAAATAAAAATTTAAATAAGTTAATTAAAAAGAATTATCTAGGAATCGAGAAGAGACGGAGAACATGAAAAAATATTAAAAGCTGTTTTTACCTTGGTATTATTAAAATTACACTTCCGCATAGTCTAATATTTTTATCCATTTTCTCCATTCTTTCTCAAACCTATCCTGTGCAGAATCACCTCGACTGTTTACAATATATTTTTGAACAGTATAATGTTCTTTAATCATGTTAACTAAGGCATTTGGGCTCAACGTTTGATGTCGACGTTTTGTCTTATAAATATAAAACTTAATTATAATTAAAATTTCATTGTCAATTCTATTATATGTCATATTCTCGTTTGGTACCAATAATCCAAAAAGAAAACTGATTTTATTAAATGAAAATGGGATAAAACGTGCATCTAACAATATTTCAAAACTTTGTAAAAATTTCTGTACTTCTCTACATTCCCACAAAATATGAATGATTGTTTCTTGTTCTTAATTACAAAGTGTACAGAGTGGACTTGTCACTAGTCCTACTTTAAACATGGCTGAATTTGTTGCCAAAATATGATGAACAATTCTATACTGAAACCATTGTAGTCTTGAATTTTTTGTTATTCTAAAAGGGGTCTTATATATATCATTCCAATTAAAATTATTCAAATCTAATTTTTCTTCCCATTTTCTCCTCCCAGTAGCAATAGTATCTTTTTTTACCATAAGGTTATAAAAATCTTTTATCCCTTTTACTCTTTTTAAAAAAAAATTAACATTACAGGGTATGATAGGGTAAAAAATAGCATCCTTTTTACAATCAATTTTAGCTAAATATTTCCTTATTGTAGTTGATACACCATAATATTGGAGAAAATTTGTATTTACCTGATAAATTTGAGCAAATTCTTGAAATATGTAAAAAGTGCAAGTCTAAATGTCTTTTATTAAGTCATAAATTATAGTCACTCCTTTATTATACCATGTCTTGAAAAATATTGATTTTCCCCCAATAGTAAAATTCCTATTGTACCATAATAGCATTTTCCAGATACAACTTTCATTAATTTGTTTCACCCGCTCCTTTTCATTAAACCTTCTCCATGCTTTAAAGACATCTTTCCAAAAATAATTTGTGCACTTATTAATACATATTGAAATGTAATCACTTCGACAATGAGATAGCATATGTAAGTCAATATGTGTTTCTAAGATAACTTGCCACTTGCCCGACTTCTGATCTAATCTCCGAATCCACCCTAATTTAAGGAATCGATGAATGACCTTATATTAACCATTTTAAGACCCCCTTCAATATAATTTAGAAATATCACATCTCTCCTTATTTTATCAGTTTTACTGTTCCATAAAAAGTTAAAGAGAATATTATTTAATTGATTCAAAAAAAGATCATCAGGATTTGGCAATGCAATAAATAAATGGTTAAATTGTGATATCTTAAAAGATTTTATCAGATGGATTCTACCTACAGGAGTAAGTGATCTTCTGTTCCATGTCATGATAAGTGCTTTAAG